TACGTACATACATACATACATGTATATACTTACATGCCCACACAGGCTTGTCGATGCATGTTTGTGCTCTTGTGTGTTTTATTTGTATATACATATACATACACATATATACACACACACACACGCGCACATTCACATAAGATATGTCCCTGTACAAAGAGATGCCCCTACTATGTAGAAAAACCGCATGAGCCCAATATGCACATCTTAGGCCCACCTGTTTCCTCTGCAGGCCACGCAGATGCTGCAGAGTCCTCCAGATTGCGTGTCCGTGATGCACGTGGCCACTGAGCTGCATCTGTTGGGTGTAGGGATCAGGAAGTTTAGGAACCCCGAACCCTCCACCAACAACATTCCTAAAGCCCTGAAGCCTAAACCCTAGCGTTCCGGCAGGCACCACTAGCCTTACAAACGTCGCGACACCTCACGGGGCTGGACGTGCTTGAACCTGACTCTCATTTTAGCTCAAAGGCAACTGAAAGTCGGGTTTCAGGGTGTGGGGACTAAGGGCTATGGCATTGAGGCTGGCATGAGTGGATTGACGAATGAGCCTTCATTCGAGTCTAGGTAGCCCTGGATCCATTTCTTGTCCCTCTATTATCATGTGTTAAGCCTCCTACAGTGGCTCTGAAGCTAACATCTCGACTGAGCTCTTAGGGCGTCGGCGTGTATTCTTGGGACTGCTCCTCGCGGCTGGATTTGTTTCTCCTGACTGTCCGTCTCAGATCATGCATGCTCTAACATACCCGAAAACATTGTTCTAATCTTTAAGGCGAATATACTAAATCCTTATAGTAACCCTCGTAGCAACCCTTTCAGGGAACCCTTAAAGGAGCCTTCTTCTAGTTCTTAAGACCCCTATATATATATATATATATATGACAGTCACACTGCTTCACTGCCGTGGAAACCAAGGCCACTGAGGTCATTCTGCCAGTGACTCGGGTATGGCCCGCTTTTAGGAGGCTTTAGATTTTAAAGTTGAGGGTTCCTCGTGTAGTGTGGGGTTTAGGGTTTACGGTATGGTCTGCTTTGCGAGAGGGTTTAGGGTGTAGGATTCAGGCAGCTTACGGTAGGGTTGAGGGTTCAGGAATTAGGGTTTAGGGTTGAGGTTGTGCTTGTTTTGTAGGATGCAGGGCTGGCGCTGGTAATGCCTCAATGCTTGTTGGCAGTTTGCTTCCACCGCGTTCGCTCGCGGAGTAGTGTAAAGTTTCTCCTCGAAATCTACTGCTTGGTGTTACGGTTCAGCAGCCGGTCATGTTGCCGGCCCTTTCATTCTACACAACGCGCAGCCTTCGCAAACGGTGTGTATGCCCTTGGTTGGCCCTTCGGCAACTCCTCGAATCTGTTGCACTGAAAACCGTTGTTTGAGGAAGCCCTCCCATATCCAGACAGTGTTTCGCCACGGCTTTGCCTCGCGATCGTTCCCTGCCGAGGAGCACGATGGATGTGGTCTCGGCCAACTCCGCCTACAGGAAGCTCATGCCCGGTACCTAAGGAAGGGTTTAGCATCAAGAGCTTAGCACTTGGGGACTGTAGTAGTCAGATGTTTGCTGTTCGTATGGGTTTCTGTTTATGCGGCAGAGACTGAAGGTTCAATGCGAGGCTTCCAAATCGTGTTCTGCGGCCCCGTGTGCCTGTGCACGAAACGGTCTAAGTTTTGGCTGTGAGTAGTTGGAAGCCCTGAAGTCTGAAGGGACGGGATGAAGTACTCCATATGGTTCTTCGAAAACCTGATCTGGTCCACATGCCTGTAGTAGAGAGTAGTTTCGTTGGAAAGTCGTCGTAGTAGTAGTAGTAGTAGTAGTAGTAGTAGTAGTACTACTACTACTACTACAACCACCACCACTACCACTGCCACTACCACTTTCACTACTACTAGTACTACTACTACTACTACTACTA